AGCTGTGCTAAGGCAGGACAGAATGTGACAAAGTCATAGCAAACGTCCCTGTGGGCTGCCACTGCTGCCTGGCCAAGCAAACCTCAGGGCAGGACAGCATGGCCCAGTCTGGTTTAAAGGATTATTCCAAACTGGATTTTGAACATATCCAGGAAAAGTGCCACAGAACCTACAGAATCTTTTGGGGTTTTTGTGTGATAAGAAGATTTCAAGGAGATTAAACCAATGCAACCCTGATCTTCTGTTTAAATTGTCTGTCCTAAATCAGCCTTGGAGCTTTTCTAAAGCGTTTTGGAGGAAAATTTGCTTCCAGAGTGATTCATAGATTTTTCACTAATTAGCTCAACAGCAGTTCCACTTTCTCAAAAGCAGGCACTGAAGCAGCCCAAATCCAGATTTAATGTCCATTAAAAAGGAAATGCTTTAGTGTTGGGATTTATATCAGTGTTCTGGTTCTCAGGAAAGTACTGCATTTTTATAAAAAAGAAGCTCTTTTTTTTTTTTTTTGGGCCAAATTCAAACCAAACCACAAGATAGATTGGTACAATATTATTTATGTGGGTAAGCTGATGTAAGCTTATGCTAAATCTGAATATGTTTTTTCAGAGACTATGGCAGCAGGATTGAGGAAATAATTTGAACAATTAGGGATGTAAGTTTTGCAAAACTGAATGCCTACAAAAGTTATAGTGTTGGTTTCAGAGTTTAAGCCATTCTCCAGCTTTTCAAATTATGGTGTCACAGAAATTGGAGGAGAAAGGTATGAAGAGAACAAATGTAATGGATTATACTCCTTTCCCACAGTATCTCACCTATATATGTCACTCCTGACAGATGTTAGAGTAACATGCCATGAAATCCTCCACTGAAAGAGCTTTCAGTGCCATAACTGAGATGCAACCTACTCTTGCCTCTCATTAATCTCACTTGTAGAAAGCTTTTCTCAAGTGTGGTGTCTCCTTTGTTGCCCTTCAAGACTATAGTATATAATATAGCACCAGATTACAGATTGTTATTATTTCAGGACAAGTATTTATATTTTTGTTATCATCTTTCCCCATAGTCTTTCCTTCAGTTACATTTCCCTGGTCTTTGAGCCTGTTTCCCTAAATCCTTATATGGGATCTCTGATAATCCCTACTGGTATTTTTCTGGACTTTCTCCAACTTACCCAAGTCTTTTTGGTCTAGATCTTATCAGCAAAAGGTAGACTGCAAGGATTACCTCCCAGGCCTCAAACAAGACACTCCTGCTAACACACAGCTTGCTTTTACAGCAGCACGACCCCATTCACTCTGGCTTAGTTCATTTCATTTTCTACAGAACGGTGGGTTACAATGAAATGTTAGAATGAATGTTAGAATGTTAGCTCTGTTCATCTTGCCCCACGTGGCTTGCAGAAGCTTCTTAAGGAGCAGTGAAGTGACTCCCCAAGTTCTCCTTGTAAAGAAAGAGCATGTGATTTTTAAAGTTGGCTTTATCATAACTTGCCCTTACCTGAAAAAATCTTGATTAGTTGTTATGAAGAACAAACTTAGAGCAGAGACCCGAATCACACTCACCTCCCTCGTGGAGAATTTACTGTGTTTGTGGATCATGGCATCATCACTGTCTCCCCTTTCATTTTGATAGGGTCCACTTTTCTCTGATATGAACCAATCACGGAAATGAAGATTTTACCTGTGCAGCTCACAGTCCTATCTTTCTTGATGAACTACATTTTAGTATTGAACAAAAATTGCACCATAATATATAAATGCAGTATTTTTTTTACCAGCATTCCATCTGATAGCATTTCAGAACTTCACTACAGTATCTGTGGCTTCTCAATATAATGGCAATATTTACAGTAGAAAAAAAAAGATCACTCTTTAAAATATATTGGTTTAAATGGTATCAAAGAGTATAATATTGTAAGAAGTTGCATTTAATGTAGAGAAAGTCACTATAAAATAGCCCAGATTTTTCTTATTCTCTAAAAATTAAAACAAATTTATCTGAAAACGAAATTCCTTTTATGTGGAGCTGGGGGTTGCATTAAACAATCTGATTTCTTGAAATAAATAAATAAAAAGAATCCCGTCATTCTGAGCCTTTTTATTTAATCTGCTTTGAATCTATACCCAGCACTGAAAAAGGCAGAACAAGTACCTTGGAACAGATTGTTTCAGTAAATGTCTCACTTTCTTAGTGCAGTGCTGCAAAGTACCCCTCTCTCCTAGATTTTCCATGAACGTTTAACCTTTGGGTTTGGATTTATCGAGCAACAGAAGAACGTCATCCTGTGAAAATCCTCTTTTTTACAGCTTCAAAAATAGACAAACTGGACAACTGCCCTTCTTCTCCATCTCACGTACAGGAGAAATTTGCAAGAAAGAAGATATGTTTGGGGAGAGCAGATGACATACAGCCACGGGGGAGGGGGGAAATAGGACAAGCGTTCCAGCTGGGAGTCCCTCCATTAGCGCTGGCAAGGAGCAGCCGGAGTGCCTGCCAACATCCAAGTGCTACATCATCTCTACGTGCACAGGAGTGGATCTATTGGCATTCGTACCTGTTGGTTTAAATTTACACTCCTTCCTGTGAAAGCTTAAAGTAGAAATGTTGGCACCTGAAATCCTGTGATCACCGGCTCCAGCCCCGGACCGAGCCACACTGGCAGGAGAAGGGCTTGAGCTGACTGCAATCAGCCACAAGGCAAAATTTAGCTTTTTCCTCCCAGAAAGGAAGAAACTGAAATATGTTTTACAACAGAATCGTCTGGGATTTTATTGTTTTAACTTTAATCCCGGGAACAGTCTATATGGACACAGAGGAAATAATTACCCAAAGGAAATGGGAACAATTAACTCTTAGCATAGGAAGAGAAAAGAAAGAGTGAAGTTAGAGAGAAATACCATACTGGCAGCCCAGTCATTTAAGTTCCTGCACTGTATTTCTGTTGGTGTAACTGTAGAAATCATATTAAAACAGCAAAACAAACGCCGAGCCATTCCTTTAGGTGCTGACTAATATTTGTAAATGCATCCTCAGAAAAAGTACCTTAAAACCAGAACAGGAGTCGTGAAAACGGAAGAGATTTTAAATCAAATACTTAGACTCCTTCTCCCGGGGGATTCCCGTGGTGACCATACGTGCGAGGGAGCTGCTGTTTAAAACGAACTTTCAAATTTGGCAGAGCGGGGGGGAAGGAGAAAATCTTCCAGGGAGCATCCCCTCCACCACCGCCTCGAGGGCTGCCGCTCGTGAAGGGCTACGAAGATGTGTTGGGAGGGAGGGGGGATAAACCCCCCCAAAAAACCCCAAAAAAACCCCCAAAAGTGTTTCGGGTTGTCACTTGGAAAAAAAAGCAGAACCCAGACCCCAAGTACCCAGAGGGTTTTGTAATTGTTCTGCAAAACGAGGGCGGCGAAGCGGCGCAGCGCCCGCCGGTGGCCGCCCCGCGCCGGGAGGGGACGGGGCCGGGGCGCCCCGAAAGGCGGTGGCGATGGACACGGCCATCCCTCCCCGGACGGCAGCCACTCGCCAGGGGTTTCTGTATGTTCGTGGGTTTTTTTTCCCAAACTTCCCAGCTAAAATCTCATCAACAAAACATCACCCGCCCCGCGGCTCCCCCCAAATTTATCCATCCATCTCCCGGTGAACACACGGCTCCTGCCGCCGGGAGCGACCCTGTCATCGGCGGCTGTGAAAACATAAGCGAGGAGCCCGCTGGGATGTTCCCAGGAGCGCTCCCCATCCATTTGAGCAGCGGAAAGCGCCACCCAGCCACGCCGGTGCCCCGCTCCCTGCGCGGGGCTCTGCTGGCCGCGGTGTCGCCGCCGGGGCCGGCGACAGCGGCACGGGCGTCTCCTGCCACCGCAGCCGCCGGGAGCCGGGAAGCGCCGCAGGGGAGCGAGGGCAGGGCCGGGACGGGCGGGGCCGCGTGGCTCCGGGGTCCCGAGGACGGTGCGGGACCCTGCGCGTCCCCGTGTGCGGCGGGGCTGCCGCTGCCGCCGGGCTCGGCGGACGCCCAGCGACTTGGGGCGGGCAGGAGAGGCGCTCCCGGTCTCTCGGGGCGCGGTGGAAGCGCTCTCTGCGCCCAGGCGCTGCAGAGCATCTCTCCCGGGCCGCTTCTCCCCTTCCCCGCCCCGCTTGTGTCCCCCCCGTGTCGAGTGTCCCCGCCCCCGCCGGGCCGGTGCTTGCTGCGCCTGGGCAAACACCCGCCCGGACAAACATCCTGAGCGGGCAGGTGCTGCGGTGACAGAGGGTCCTCGGCGGGTGATGCATGGGCGGCGCGCAGCTGCCCGGTAATCCCGGCCGGGCAGCGCGGGGGCGAGCCCCGCTCCGCGGGCGCGCCGAGGCGCTGCACCTGCCCCTGAAGTTGTGCGGTGGAGATGCTGGCGGTGCCGACAGTTTCCCCTCGGAGCGCGGAGTTACTCCGCGGCCCCGGCCCGGCGGGGCGGTGCGGGTTCCCGGCAGGGCAGAGCACGGGAGCCGCTCGCCGCCGCCGCGGGGATGCTCGCAGGTGCCGCTCGTCCCTTTTCCCGGCGAGGAGCGGCGGGTGCCGCGGCCAGCGCTCCCTCCTCTGCCGAGGGGCTGAGGCGTGCCGGTGTGCTCCGCTCGGGCGGCGATGGGCGCTGCCGCCCGCCGTGCCCCTGCCCCGCTGCGCATCCCGCCGGCGCGGAACCCCCGCCACCCGCAGCCGGCAGAGCGCCGGGTACGCCCGGGCTGCGCGGCGGCGGCCACCGGGGGAGGGCGGAAATTCCCGGGGAGGGAGCGGCGCCGCTCTGCAATGCGGTCCCGCTGCTGCAGAGGTCGCCACGCGGGAGCGGTGCAGCGGCAGCGGTGCAGCGGCAGCGGTGCAGCGGGAGCGGCCCCCCCGCCCCGGCCGCGCCGCGCCCCGCGCGTTTTTTGTGAATGGGACCCTCAAGGAGCGGGCCATGACGTCACCGCCGGGCCCAACTGGCGCCCAATGGAGGAGCGGGCCCCGTCGGGCGGCCGGCGCGGTGATTGGCTGGCGGGCGCGCGCGGGCGCCCACGCAGGCGGCGGCGGCGGCAGGTATAAAGGGGGCGGCGGGCGGTGCGTGACACCGCGGCTCGGCGGCGACACCGGCACCGCGCCCGCTCCTGCGCTCCGCTCCGCACCCGGTAAGCGCCGTGCCGTGCCGTGCCGTGCCGTGCCGTGCCGTGCCGTGCCGTGCCGTGCCGTGCCGTGCCGTGCCGTGCCGTGCCGTGCCGTGCCGTGCGGCTCTGGTACCGCCGCTCATGGGCTCGTGTACGCGGGGCGGCGGGGACAGTCCTTCCCCGCTCGGGCGCTTCCTCGCCCCGCGGATGCGACGTGGCGTGTCCGGCCAGGACAAAGTGCTGCGGCAAAGGTCACGGCCGGGGAGCCGCGGGGAGGACGGGCATCCTTTGGAAGTGGGGTCGTGGTTCCCGTCGAATGCCGGGAGCTGGCAAAAACGAGGATGATGTGGTGGTTGTGATGTGCTCCTTGGAGTGCAAGGCAGTGATGTTGTGAGAGAGGTGTATCTCAAATCTTAAGTAATAGATATTTTTGCAGCTTTTGTGCTTGTGACTGATTTTTGACTTACCCTCTTCTCTGGTTTCAGAGCAGAAGTATTTATTGAAATTAAACTACTTAATTCTTAGTGTAATCTGAACTGGGGTGTTAGTGTGCTGGCTGGCAAGAAGCAAGCAGGTAAAGTGCTAACAAGGGCACTTGGTTCTTAAAAATGTTAAACACTTACTTGTTTTTCCTTTCCATTTGTATCTGTCCATGTCAGACACACAGTCTGTGACATTGTGTGCAGTCTGTGACATTTCTGCCAGTTTGAGGAAAACTGCTTTAAGTTGAACGCAAATATCTTATCTGCAGGTCTTAAAAGCCACCTTTTTCTGCCCTGTAATAGAACCAAGCTATAATAAATTTTTGAGAAAACTAAAGCACAATAGCAATAATCAAAATAAGCAAAAAGGTGAATTTAAAATAAAATGCGTTTCATATGTGTGCTACTTGTGGCTGGGAAGCAATGACCTCTTTAGTGGAACTTGCAGGATTGAGAGGGTTGGAAAACAGCCATTGCTTGATGTACCTCTTTGTTGTAGAGAGGAAATCATGGTTATGCTGAAGATTTCATCTTTCCTTGCTGTTTATGCCTTGGTTGTGTGCCAGATGGACAGCTTCCAGGCAGCCCCAGTCAGGTAAGAAGCTGGTCCTGTTGCTGAGTGCTCTGTCTGAACGGCATGAAAATGCTTAATATTCTTGAGAGGTCCAGGAGGGAAACAGACCACGGCGAAGGAGAAAGGTGGCTGCTGCTTTTTGTGCTGGGGCGTTTTGATTGCATCTTTAACCTGCCCCAGGCTGCGTGTGAGGAGGGCGCATCGGGGTTTGCACATTCACACCCTGAAAGGCACTGGCAATGACACGCAGCCTGCCAAACCCCTCTCTCTGCAGCGCTCTGGGGCTTGCTCACCCTGTTTCCCTTGCCTCTGCCTAGACCTGGCTTGGAGTCCATAACGGATCGAGTGACTCTCAGTGACTACGAAGCTCGCAGGTTATTAAATGCGCTGGTGAAAGAGTTCATACAGATGACAGCAGAAGAGCTGGAGCAAGCCTCCGAGGGGAACAGGTAAGGACTGCATTCCTGGGCAGCAGAAAAGCAATGGGGGAGTGTTATATGTTTGATATTTAGCAAAAAGCTATTTGGGCAGACCCTCTGCAGGTCACAATCTTTTTGTTTTCTTGGGATTATGGCTAACTGGTAAAGGATGATACTGCAGAGACATCCTAGTGTTGGTGTCAAGGGAACGGCTTCCACCTAGTTAACCTGCCTCTGTCTGTCTCTTACTTCTGAAAGTGGAGGGCGATTTGAGCTTGAATGAGTAGGTTGTGTTTAAATATGGCAGCAAAAGGTATGTCTTCCCAGTGGGAGTGTTAGGGCATTACTCAGTCGCTCTTGGATTCTCTGTCGTGCAAGTGCATGCTGTTGTAAGGCATGGAAAGTCCCTGGCAGGAGGGATGTGTTCCTCCTGATGCACGCAGCACCACTCTCTCTCCCTGGGACCAAAGGCATGCAGGAGCATTTGCATTATCCTAACAGGATTTGCATTGCAATGCATGGGGATGGATGAGACACTGAACAGCATGCGGGATATGGGGAAAGTTCAACTTCCTGACCTCTACTGTATGAGCATCCAAAAGGCTAATGGACTTGCTTGTCAACAAAATTGGATTCATTAACAAATGGTGTTTTCCTTCTGACTGCTTTTGTATGGACTTGCCTTGCATGGAATGTGATGTGGAGGGTTTGGGTTTATTTTGAATGAGTTTTTTAGTTTCTTAACGGTAGATCTTTTATGCAGGGAAGAAATGCATGAATGCGCATGCTTGAGGTTACTCTTCCTTTGGGCATGTTTTTATTTTCTTTCCCCCCTGCAGCCTGGATAAACCCATTTCCAAACGCTGTGCCAGTCTGAGTACTTGTGTGCTGGGCAAACTGTCTCAAGAATTGCACAAATTGCAAACTTACCCTCGCACTGACGTCGGGGCTGGAACTCCTGGCAAGAAACGGAATGTGCTGAGTGACCTGGAACATGAACGCTATGCAAACTATGGGGAACCCCTAGGAAACAACTAGACATGCTTATTTCTCCCTCTTTCCCTTTTTTAACCTGATGCATGTGGATATAACTTTGATTGCTAACTTTGCTGTGTTCTTTTGATTCTGTTTTTGACAGAGAATGTTTGAGATGGACCTAATGTTAGGAAGACCAAGAATATAACATGCATACCACACTAGGGGAAAAAAATAAATAAAAATGATCAGCACTGCCTTGACATTCCAAATGATTTTCTTAGACATTGATTAAAAAAAATTATAAAAAAGGCTCTTCATTTCTGGCTGCTAAATGTACAAGTAGATTCTTTCTTTTGTGCTTACCCATGCACTTGTTCAATAAACCTATTTTTCTATAAGGGTTAGATCTTTTTGGTTTAACATTTTGTTTTAGAATGTGAGATTTCTAGATGAGGTTAGAAAAATTTTGCAACTTGTCTTAATGTTCAAGAGAGGCAATGCTAGAAACTTTAGAAAAGTTCAAAGAGAGCTTAGAAGTCAAAGTTCTACATATAAATTGATATATACTGCTGTAATCAGGCATGCATGCAATCCTGTTGGTAGGGACCCTGAGAAGCAAAGAAATCAGGAAGGCTCATACATATTCATTCTAACAAACTAGAAATGTAATCCTGTTTAAAACTGGGTACTGAACATGTCCAGGTAAGAATTTTGTGGTCTTTCTCTTTTCTTATTTTACAATAGGTCTTTGCGCTATTTTTAAAACTTATGTACCTTTAAAATATTTGTGTTGATTTACAGTTCACCTACCTTAAATTTTCTTGCATTAAGAGCCAAACCCATATTTCTTTACAGTTCTGTTGCAGCACTGCATCTATCTTTTAATTAGAGGCCTCTTTTAAAAACTTGGCATTAATTGTAAAAACAACTCTTCATTGTTAAAATTAATAAACTGCCTTGTGATGCTTAGCTGAGTAAAATCCCCCCTACTGAAAGAAAAACTCATTGCTTTAGTAGGAAATTCTTCAAGCAAGGATTGTGTGAATGCATATTCCTTGAAGTTCCCCATCTAGCACAACTCTTGGCTGTAGGCTGAATTGTGGGCAGAGAGCTAATACTGTCACAGTCTGAACTGCCCCACGGTGAAGTTCTGTAGTAGACAAAGGTCGAACTGGAGGAAGGAGAGGTTCTCCCATGCCCACTAAGCACCTGGAAGCAGTATCTTTGTAGTTCAGCTCTGAAGGCAGCTAGTCAGTCACTGACAGAGCTCCTGTAGTGGTCAGAGATGCTGTAATTCCATGTGTGTTCTGGCTGTTAGGGAGCATAGGTGTTGGAGCGAGAAGTGAAAAATCTGTGTTGGCTACCGCCTTACCAGAACACCTCAAGCAAAATACAAATGTGAGCTTTTGGAAGAAGAGGGGGTTGTTTAAATTATCCAGATCTGAACCTCCTCAGCTCCTTTACATGGCTATAATGCCTGGCTGGAGGCAGGCAGTAGCCCAGGTGTAGCTGAGAATCTGGCCTGGATTTAGTCTTCAGTCCAGCTGCTTTTATAAAGTGAGTCTGAAGCTGAGAAAACCATGAAGAGGCTTCTTGTAGTAGTTATAATCTGTGCACAGAAGGTGCAAGTGCCTGCAGCAGAGCCTTTACTCCCCATAGTGATGTCTCACTGCGTGCAGGGCTTTTGCTGCAGGAACTAACTCTTCCTTTTCCTCCTGAAAAGCAGTGTAACAGCACAGAAGAGGGCCTGCAACACAGCCACCTGTGTGACCCACCGCCTGGCAGACTTCCTGAGCAGGTCAGGGGCAGTGGGCAAGAACAACTTCGTCCCAACCAACGTGGGCTCCAAGGCCTTCGGCAGGCGAAGAAGAAGCGTCCAGATGTAAGGAGCTGGATGGTGATGTGAACACGGTAAATGCACAGCACCAAACAGGGCCTGGGGCATCACCAGTGCTTGAGTTGTGTGGGGGGAGTACCAGACCTGCAGTGGTCACCTCTGAGAAGACAGGGGGAGTCAGAGTGCGAAAAGAAAAAAGATGTGACAAATGGAACAAAGACGTGTGTACAAGAGCTTTTGGAGATGTTCTGCTTGGGTAACCACCTTCACAGTGTATTAACTAAACACAACAATTTGGTTGAAATTGTTTGCTTGTTTTACCACTGACATTTCGTTATCAACATATCAGTAACTCTGGTGTTCTTTCTTACAGATTGCAATGAAACCGAAAACTCGACTTTAATTTCTAATGGAAGCAACTCTTCTTCATAAACCAAGACCACCAAAAAGATTAATTTTTCATCCTACTATTGAAAATGTTTTATTTAATACAAATGAAAACACTTCTGTTATGTATAGTAAAAGAGAATCTAGTTATTAAAGTTAAATTATTGTATATTCTTTTTATATGCAACTCTATTTCAAATAAAATGTGACGGCATCTATTATTTATTTATCTTCCAGCTTATGTGATCCATGCTACTTATCCTGGCCCTACTGCCAAATCTCGGGGATTATACTAAACTGCTGCCTGGCAAGGCATATGTGTATTATACAGTGTGCTGTGCCTTGATGTAAAACACTTAACTATCCTGATTGTACAGTATGTTTAAAAAAAAAAGAGAAATCACTTCAGTATTGTATTATTTGTGAATTTACGCAAAATTAAAAAAAGTATTTTAGATACACTTGGATTGAGAAACTGATTTTTCATTTGGACACGCTTCTGGAGATAGGTGGCACCAAGCCAACATCATTGCAGATCAGCTAGTCCATTGATCTGCTGCAGCCTTATTAACTATAAATACTAGGGTTTGGGGCAAAAGTTCAGAACAGAAAGAATAGATGCTTTTTATATATATGTTTAAAAAAAACCCAAATGATCCAAATGACACCACTTAGACTTCAGCCAGAAAAATAAGATGAAGCCACAGGTACATCTAGTAAAAACTTGGGGATACATTTCATTGTGTAGTTTAAAATTAAATAATTTCATACAGGCAATAGTTCAGATGAAAGAGCCTGACATCCGCTGTAGATTTTTGTGTAGAGTCAAAAAAATGAATTAAGAAGAGAAAGAGAAGCTACAGAAATGTACATTTCTTTGAAGCAATCCTGAGACAGAGTCTATTTAGGGATCAGGGATAAATAATTAGAGTGAGTGGAGAAGAGGGTAGCTGGATCCATTCCATGGACTTCTAAGTGGTGCTGCCAACTTCCTTCTCAAAGCTGCTGCTGTTTCAGTTTAGTAGCTGAGTCAGATATTTGTTTAGATTTGTCTCGTGCTTTACAGCCTGACCCTAAAATCTGCTTCATCAATTCAGATGAATCCCAGAATGGGTGAGGGAAGAGGCCACAGGGCACCATGTGGTGCCACCTCCCTGCTCCAGCAGGGTCATCCTGCAGCACAGGATTGCATCCAGAGGGTTCTGGGTTATCTCCAGTGAGAGAGACTCCTCCTTGCTGTGCAAAGCTGAAGTGAAGGTTCTCATGCTGTCTCTGTGTCTCTGCTGCAGGTGTCACCAAGAGGAGCTTGGCGAGCCTGGTGTGGACAGTGAGGCCACCCAGTGACCTCCAGTCCGTGCTCGTTCCTGGCTGCGGGTTCACTCCTTGGGGAGCAGCAGCCCTGGTAAGTCAGTGTACAAAGCAGGCCTTGTAGGAGATGAGCCACTGCACTGGCTTTGTGCAAGGATCTGCTTGGGTTGGACCAAACTGCCAGTTTTGGAGCCTGTAAGTGTTTGTTGCTATGTTTCAGGTGTTTTTCCCCATTTTTCTTTACACAAAGTAGGGGTCACGTGCTGGGATTGCCTGGCAACCTCAGCAACACCTTTCCCTGTCACTGTCAATCCTTTGGACACAGGTGGCAGCTTGTTTCTTTTGTTTCCTAATACAGCACTCAGCTGTTTAATCTTTTCCAAGACAGAATGCTAAGTACAATTATTGGGGTGAATACATGTATTTCAGTGATTCATATTCAATAAGAAGCCAGGCACTGCCCATCGGCCATTTCTGGCTTTAAAGTCTAAATGGTCAGGCAGTTTATTTTTTCCCATTTACAGCCATTCTCTGCTGAGAGACACCTGAGGCTCTGCATAATTGAATGTCAGCTGTATATCCATCTAATCTAAAAACTATTAGTCCCTCTTTTCAGTTTAACAAAGTTATGCAAGGGATTTCCCCAGACCAATGTTGCACACCACAGCACAAGCCTGACACATAAAACACTCAACTAGCCTTGGTGCTGGCTTTTACCTTGTCCTGGGTGTAGGAAAATTGGGTGAAACTTTTGATACATGGTTTTTGTGCTGACTGTTGTTTTCTTTTTCCATAGGAAGAACTAGCTACTTTCTCACCTCAAGATTTATTCCTGTTATATCTTCTGTCTCCTTTCTCCTTAGGATCTCTGTGTGTACATCAATGCAATACACTTAGCAGTAGATATCCCTGTAAAGGAAAGAAGGCTGAGCACTAAGGAAGCAAGGGGGAATGCAAAAAACTTTTCCATGATGTGAAGGGATAGAAGCCCTTCACCACAAAACTGAGATGCTCAGAGCTGTAGAAGAAACAGATTGTTATTGAAACTAGGGAAAAGCAGAGTTGTAAACAGTAATATTTTAAGTAAAAAATTGGTAGTTTTAAGGCAGTAAACATGGTAGAAGGAATAGCAAAGCTGCTAGAAGATTGTTAATGGCTTTGACTGACTGTTAAAAAGTGGAAGAAATTGCTTCTATTTTTAAAAGGTACTGTTCTGGGTAATATTACCCAAACTTGTCAGCTCTCAAGTAAACCCCAAACTTCTACTCCAGGAGAAAATCTATTTTGGAATTAGCATTTTAAAAGGACAAGTGTGGTTTCTAGTGTACTTTTATTTCCGTTTTAATACATTGCCATTCTAAGAATACTTAGAGCTGGTGGAAAGTGTAACATTGGTGCAGGATATGTGAGTGGCACCAAGCCCAAATTACTTAGCATTCAGTAATCATGCACTAGTGTCTATGTTCTTGTTTATGAGGCAATATCAGCCTGGCTGTAGTTTGGTTCTAATATTTTTAGATGTCTGTGTGTGTTTAATTACTAAGTAGTTGTTTTGGTTTTTTTTAAATCTGAGTGCAAATGAAGTCTTGGGAGAGTACTTTGCAAGCAAAAGCAAAACCAGAAGAAATTTCTGAGAAGGAAAGGGGACAGGTGATGGTCTGCTCCTAGAGCTGACTCAGTTTTTGATTCAGGATCATTCACCAGGACATTGCTGCCCACACTGATAGAGCATCATTTTGAAATAACCCAAGTGGACTTCCACTGTGGCAATTATTTTTTCTCCTTCTGTTAGTGAAATTTAATTCATCTTCCTGAAAGCTTCCATTATCTGCAGTGTGAGAAAGGAGCAGAGCTAATGTTATTGCTTCTGACACTGAACACTGCCAAAAGCAACTTATATCAGGCAGTAGTAAATTTTGGTATTGGTTATCTAATCCAGCATTGTCATGTCTAATTAGTAGATTGAACATCTCTAAGAGGTGAAGAGTTTAAAACATGCTGGAGAGTTCGGATCTGTGCCTTTTTCTGGACTGAACTGTCTCAGAACAGGTGAATACTTATTAGAGATAAACTGGGTGCTTCAAGCCTGGCTTCACCCAGGCTGAGCACTGGCAGCTTGGTTCCAAACTGCTCACAATCACTGCCTCAGCATGGTGCACACCTTTGCTGCCTCTTTACTGTTCTAAAAGGCACCACATCCTTTCCCTGTTCTCCACTCTGGATGCTCCTCATGCCTTCTAAAATTCTGTTCTGCAGAAAATGTCCAAGGAGTATAGTACCCCTCCTTTTTCTTTTTCTTTTTTTTTTTTTCCCACAGAAAGGAAATAATTCCCATTTCCAAATTACACCTAACATTGTCACACTTTCTCTGTGAACTTTCCAATCTCTGTGAGATTTCTGATTCAATGGAGTAATCAGAACCATTGCAACATTTATCTTTTCTTTCTATTCTTGGCTTCACCACAGCTCTTATTTTCACCAATTACTCTTTTGGCTGGGGCTGAGCTGTGATCCCAGCTAAATTATTAGTGTCACCTCCACGAAAGCAAATAATTGCCTTGCAGTCTGAGAGTGAAGCTCGAGGGCTTTAAAATCTGAACAATTTGTGTGATTTCCAGCGGTGGGTGCCGAGGCAGCCTTGCCTGGGCGCTGCCTGCCAGACCCCCCAGGTGTTCCCCTGAGAGGCCACCTCTTCCCCCAGGGCACAGAAGGGGGACAGGACAGCCAGGTTTGCAGTCACTAGCTCCTCTCCTCTCCCAGCTGTGTGATCCAGGATCTGGGTGTGCTGGAGAGTGCCACCTCCTCCTCTTCCTTCTCCTCTTCCTCCTCCTCCTTCTCTGCCAGGGCTGGCGGAGGCAGCAGACTTGTGGCAGGACCTCTGGAGACATGGAAAGAGGAGCTCACACTGGAGCAGGTCTGTTGGGAGGACTTGTGACCCCATGAGGGACCTGTGCTGGAGCAGCCTGCTCCCAAAGGACTGCACTCTGTGGAAAGGGAGCAATGCTGGAGCAGTTCATGAAGTGCAGCCATGGGAAAGACCTACGCTGGGAAAGGTGGAGGACTTTCTCCTGTGGGAGGGGCCCCTCTCTGGAGTAAGGGAGGAGTGTGAGGAGTCCTCCCCAGGAGGAGAAAGGAGCTGCAGAAGCAGCATGTGATGGACTGACCACTGCTCTCATTCCCCAGCACCCTGCTGGGAGCGGGGACAAGGCAGACAAATTGGGAATAAAGTTACACCTGGGAAGAAGACAGCTGGGGGGGAGGTTGGTTTTACTTATTATTATTTAACTTTGATGTGATTGTAATAATGGGGACAAGGTAGACAAATTGGGAATAAAGTTATACCTGGGAAGAAGACAGCTGGAGGGAGGTTGGTTTTACTTATTATTATTTAACTTTGATGTGATTGTAATAAATTAAATTGATTTCCACAAGTTCAGTCTGCTTTGCCCATGCCAGTGAGTGCTGAGTGATCTCTCCCTGTTCTTATCTCATCCCATGAACCTTTCATTATATTTTCCCTCCTATGTGCAGCTGAGGGTGGAGAGTGACAGAGTGAATTTGGTGGGCACCTGGAGTCTAGCCAGGGTCAACCCAGCACACTAAAGGAACATAATCATGTGGCTATTTGGAGCATTTATAGTTTTTTTGTAGCTTTGAAAACACTTTGAATGTCCCAACATATTGTGTCAGACACATTAATTTGCACGTTATTCTGCTGACATGCTTGAAGGACTGTTACAGGTCTTCACTGTCTTTGCTGTGGAAGGAGACAATTATTCTAGTTAGCATATGTGCCTAAAATAGTTGACTAAATAGTTTATAATTCCATTTTTAGCTCATGAAAGGACCATGATTTTATATGGAGCCATATCAAAGTTGTTATTTGTAGTGGGTAGGAATGGCCTATTGCTGGAAATTAATTCCGGAAAGTGCATCAGGGGAAGGATGAAAATCCTTGTAGTTCAGTGAATTCCATGTGGAAATTTTATTTATAATTTTATTTATGGAACAGTTGTTGTTGCTTAGGGGAACTTTTTAGCATGTCAATCATGCTAGACAGGCTGAGGAAGACAATGTTGCCAGGGTCATTCCTGAGTGTGTACATTTTCCAAGGATGGTTTCCCTCTTAGTTAATGCAGTCCTTCTTTATC